GTATATATCATAAAATATTAATAGTTAAATGACGTTAAAAAAATATAATTATAATAAATTCGACAAATAGGGCTATAATACGTGCGCAATCAATTTCAATATTACTGAATTGTATATATTCTAATTTAATTATTATTCATTTGTAAACATGTTTGGCTAACTTTTTAGCCATCCTCGATACACATAGATAATTCCATGTGGAAATGTAAGAGTTGAGATGTATAAAATTAAGCTACTTGATTACTGATACTTGCATGATTTTCCTTATTTTTAATATCCATGGAACATTGCAGACATTAAAAATTCCACATGGAATTATTTATATGTGTGGCTAAAATGTTAGCCGAAACATGTTTACAAATGAATAATAATTAAATTAGAATACATACAATTCAATAATATTGAAATTCATTGCACACGTATTACAACTAATTCCCTATTTGCCAAATTTATTATAATTATATTTTTTTATATCAGGGAATTGAGATTATCATTTTGTTTAAATGACATTATTTTTATTGCAGAGGGCTCGGATGGTTGGTCTTGTTTGTGGCAGCAACATGCTTAGCAAATATATTAAAAACAATTATACTAAACTCGACATTCCTTTGCGGTATAATTGCAGTCGAGTCTCTGACTATGTCAGTTTCTATGTCTATCAGTCTATTGGTGATTGGTTTCGCTTGGGTGTGGTATCGACCAGTCGTTGGTCTCTGTTTAGCACTAGCCTCTGTTTTGCCGTTTATTTATTCGACACTGATATCGGGATCTTCATCTCAGCAACGTGATAATTACAGGAGGTTATAGATTATATTTATTAAGTCACTTTAAAAACGATTTATCTTAAGATGCATTAAATTATTAATTTAATCAATACTTGCACACATTTGTTCGATTCTTCCTTTCTCTATTTTCTTGTGTGTTTAATAATAGGAAAGAAATATTTAAAATAAGTAAATGAGAGAAGAATATTACTTAAAATGAAAAAATTATTTATACTTTTTAACTTGTGTATTAAGACTGTAGGATAAAATTATTTATTAAGTGTATTTCTCCTGTACAAAGTTAGTTATTCATTAAAATATTTTATGTCTTAAACAATGTATCACAAAAGATCACAATATCAGTCCTATCAATAATTGATTCCTTCTGAAAACGATCCACTATTACTATTTATATTTAATACTATTTATATTTAAATACGAATGTTGAACCTTTATAAGAAGCCCTATCGTTGAATGATATGGTAAAGAATATGAATATATACATCCATTATGTTCATAGATTCATCACTGTTCATTATTATTAAAATAAGAAGTAATTTGACACTTACAGATATGATAAACAGTAGCTGCACGAGTTGTAACTAAATATTGGCTAGATTCAGTAGAAAAAGCAGCTTTGCATCTTTCTTTAATATGAATAGATGCAGTGAAGAACTAGGAACAAGAGCGATCATAAAGAATTTCACAACAGATACACAGCTTTTTTTGCTGAACATAGTCATTATGTTGTAACGCTTGATCCTAGTCAAGTCTCCTCCTTTTCTCGAATTGGTCCGTTGCATTTATTACAGTTTAATTAAGCAATTCCGCGTATGTTAAGATAATAAATAAAGATGGTGTAAAAAGTAACTTTTTATACCATAAGAATAACGTGACTTCAGCGTTTACCGTATCTGGACCTCACGTTGCAAAAACCTCCCTATTATTAATAAATTATACGAAATATAGTCTAAACAATTTTTAAAGAAACAATTCTCATTTATACGTCTCAATGAACCTATACAATTTTATTATAATTTCCAATCACACGTCAAATTCACTTTTTAATTGTTGCGTCTGCGATAATTTTTAAAAATTAATTATCACTTAAATCAGAGAGAAATCTGAGAGAGGATATGATGGCCCAAAACTTGTAATCGCAAAATGCTGCTCTCTGACAAAGTGGATGTAAACTACATAGCAACATCCACTTTTCAAAACTAGAGATGTTAAATTAATATTTGGTTCAACATGTAACACGATTATATGAACCAAATCGATTTATCATCTCCAGACTTGAAAAGTGGACGATGTACCCTAAGAAAAGTGGACGTTGCTCAGATTTCTTTCTGCTTAAATAATTTTAATAGCAAATTTATATCAATTGTCGATAATGTCAGCGTTCTTCAATTACCTCCGGGCCCTTTTTATATCGCCGAAAATTTATCGCCCAGAGTTAACAGTCTTTAATAATAGTATCTCGTCAATGCTCTGGTGTGACTCACCTTTTCTCGCGCGCGCGGATGTCGCCTGACCGACCTGACGTTGGTCGAAGATGGCGGCGAATGGCGGCGTACGTCTCCTGCTCGTAGGAGTTTTATGTACTTTTCTCTTGAAACTATGCAATGGCGCGGCGACGGACATCAAATTGGACGCCAAGGCTCAGCTGTTGCACCGGCTCGACAGTCTCAATCTCCTGCTCTATACCTTCCTATTGATTTTAACCGTTTTAACAATATGGATGTTCAAGCACCGCCGCTTGAGGTTCCTCCATGAAACTGGTCTGGCTGTCATTTACGGTGAGAGTCGTCTGCTATCAACAATTTTCAGATCTTTCTTTTTTCTTGTTAATACACGAATATAAATATTACATGAGCAAATTTCACAAGTATGCATCATCAAGGACACGTGTCACGTTCTTTTATTGTATTCGTCTATTTATGGAACAACAACTTGCAAATCTTACACATCTATTTAATTCGTATACTTATTTTTATGAAATCCCTGTGTCTCAATTTTCAATTTTTTTCGTTAAAATTATTTTTCCTTTTATGTATAAATTAACTGTGAAAAATAATTATTATTTTCAGACTTTTGCAAAATAATCAAAATGAGAGTCTAGTTATAAAAGTCATTGATTATAATATTAGTGATATAATATTATTGATAATTTAATGATAGAAAAGTATTTTATGAGATTAACATTTGTGAAGTTTTTCTAAAACAATTATGAAATAATAAATTTCTTAGAAGGTCTTATATAGATATGGGTTTTATTATTGTTCTTAAACATTTGAATAAGTTAATTTTAGTTTGGTAACAATGAATAAAATTTGAACTTTCTTAATTTTCAAGACTTTTATAATAAAGATTTGTGAATTATTTCATAGCTCATATTATTCTTATTTTGGAATCTGAAATGAAATTAATTACGTTGTTAAAACACATTCTTAAATATAATTTTAATGATCACTGCTGATAACATGTTAGATAATTCTGTTTATTTGGAATAAAACTGCAAGATAATTGTATTTATTTAGGATAAAATTGCTTGTTACAGGCTTAATCATAGGAGCGATAATACGTTATGGTTTCACAACGAGCAGCACTATTCTGCATATGCCGGTGGTTCCAGATAATTCTAGCAAATACAATCAGTCTGTACCACCGGACACGTTATGGTTACGTTTCCCGGAAGATAAGGGTGGCGGTGTCGTGAAGAACAAAACATTCGCGTATTCGTTTCGTGGCGAAATTTACAAGGAAGATAATGAAATCGATTTAAAGGTGACTGAGTCTTTCGTGAGATGATAAGTTACATTATTTGTCTAAAGAAAATTTTCAGCAAACAAATTGATAGCAAATTGTTGCATCACACTCACTCAGAGTTGATAACAAATTATTGTCCAGTGCCATATGTGCACTGAACAATAATTTATTATCAATTCTGTTTTGTTAAGAAGACTGGTGTACCAAATAGTAAATTGGCAGCAAAAGCGAGCAAATCTTTGTTTTGATCGATTCTCATTATGAGCTTGTCATCAAGCTTTGCACAGTTTCGTCAAATTGTTCTCATGTTATGTCAACAGTTTTTGTTGTATATCTGCCACTAATCTGCTGACGTTGAATACAACAGAATTTGCATCAAATTTGGTGCCTTTTTATCGATAAAATTTGAAGCCTTTGATAAAATTTGTTTTCGATAGATTTAGCTAATTAGGTTGTTTATTGAGTTTTAAATAAGCCTAGATAATTATTACATTAAACTTGAAATCATTTTGCTTTTAAAACAGTTTATTTAATGGATGTAATGGTTGTTGTTGCAGGCAACTTTTGATCCTGAAATATTTTTCAATATCATCTTGCCTCCCATTATCTTTCATGCTGGATATAGTTTAAAGCGTGTAAGTATATTAACGCGCTTATTTCTTTGTTGGAAAGTCATAATAATGGGATATACACCACACATGTAATTCCTATTTATAACTCTTTGATAATCGAATTCTTCCAGAGATACTTCTTCAGAAATTTAGGTGCAATTCTCATGTATGCTTTGATAGGAACCTCTATATCAGCTTTTGTTATTGGGTAAGCTTCTCCTTTAATGTTATTTTATTGTGGAAATCTTGAGAAAAAAGTATTAATTTATATGTCACGTGTCTATTATTATAGACATTTTGTATTGTTATCGAAACATATTCTCTTTCTTTTATTTTCTTTTTTTTTAAGAAGGTGCCATTTTTACATATTTCATATTTATTAATTATTTTTTAATTATTGCATATTTATGAGACTACTGTTATCAGACTCTTAGCAACAAATATATTTATAGAAAGTATTGCGGATCTTTGTATAGCTCGTACTTTGACCGAGCTTATCTACTTCTTGTCTCGCCATTTATAACTAAAAACAGTTCGTGTTTTCCTTTAAATTTAACTTGTAAATTTTATTTTAATAAGTCGATATCGTATTATCGTATTGTAGAGCTCTGATGTATGCTTTTGTACAATTGATACCACATCTCTCCACGTCGTTCACATTTCTGGATACCCTATACTTTGGCGCTCTAATATCGCCTACGGATCCTCTGACAATAATATCCATCTTCAACGACCTACATGTAGACGTTAATCTGTATGCTTTGGTATTCGGCGAGAGTGTATTGAACGATGCGGTTGCCATTGTACTTAGTGGGTTAGTATACAGAAATTTTGCAGAATCAATCCTACTTTATTTTCCCTGATTTTTGGATTCTTTAGCCAAATCGATTCTTTCTGCAACGAAATTATTGCGACAGAAAAAATCGAGGATTCGAAATTAGCCAAAGAAGTTGCGTTACACTGAGAAAAAGACACTTAAAAATTTATTCGTAAAACTTTACTTCTGAAATAAATGTTTATTTAAATGGCAAAATAAAATTTTATTTCTCAAATAAATCATCTATTTTATTTTTTTTTACACTTAATGAAATATATTTTATAGAAATATATATTTTGTTGCTATAGACAAATTTTTTTATAATTAATAAATATCCAGAAAATGTTACATGTTAACTTGCGAATATTATGACTTTTTTTCTCAGTGTATGGATTCTGCAATAAAAAGTGGATATTATAAGGAATTATTTAACAATAAATTGCAGCTATAATTTAGCGATATACATTCAATATAAATGCAATATTGAAAATATTCTGATATTTCAATTCAGCTCAATACAAAACTACGCAGAACGATATCAATCGGGATCAGGTGGTTTCGAAACCGTGGCGTTCTTCCAGGCGTTCGGAGATTTCGTTGAAATATTTAGTTTGTCTCTCTTTATCGGTGCTACGATGGGATGCATCACTGCATTATTGACCAAGTTTACCAGGGTTCGAGACTTTCCTCTCTTAGAGTCAGCATTATTCGTTTTAATGTCATATAGTACATTTTTAATCGCCGAAGCTACCGATCTTACAGGTAATGCATAATATTTTTGCATGTGTTATAGTATAACATTAGAAATAAAGAATAATATAAATTTTTTTCTCTTAAGAACTATTATTAATAAAAATAGTCATCGTTGATTCAACAGCTTTTTCATGTAGAAAGAAGTTGTTTCTCTTTTCTTTTCTAAAAGCTAACATTAGTGTCTTTATTTAAAAATGGAACTTAAGAAAAATTTTTTGCATCAATCTAGAGATTATGATTTTATTATGAAATATTATGAATTTATTATGAATTTTAGGCGTGGTTGCTGTTCTCTTCTGTGGAATATGCCAGGCTCATTACACATACAACAACCTGAGTCTGGACTCGCGTCAGCGTACAAAACAACTGTTCGAGCTGTTAAATTTCTTAGCCGAGAATTTCATATTTAGTTACATCGGCGTCTCGATGTTTACCTTCCCAAAACATCATTTCGATCCTGGCTTTATTTTCGCGGGATTTGTATCCTTACATTATACATCTACAGAGATTATAGCGTCAGCGTCATTTGATTTTTTTTGATTGATTCCAAAAAAATCTCTAAGTGAAAAAATTCTTTAAATGAATCGTTTCAATTTAACGTTATATACAACGTAATTGTCGAAAGAATATTATTAAATAGATATCAAGCAAATTCTAAATAAATATTCAATTTATTTATTTAATTTAATTCATAAAATATTTTCCTTAACATACTTTACAGCTATGCGCGTTATTGGGTCGCGCGGCTAATGTTTATCCGTTATCCTTCATATTGAATCTGGCGCGAAAGCCGAAGATATCATTAAACTATCAGCACATGCTGTTCTTCGCAGGATTGCGTGGCGCCATGAGCTTCGCTCTCGCCATTAGGAACACCGTGTCGGACGCCAGGCAAGCTATGTTGACCACGACTAGCTTAATTGTTATATTGACGGTTATTCTACAAGGAGGTGCAACAACGCAATTTTTAAGCTGGTTCAATATTCCGTGAGTAAAATAACTAAATATTTATTTGTTTTTTTTTTCTTTTTTTTTCTTTTATTAAGAATTTTATTCAAGAAAACAAACGAATTTTTTGACAATTTGTTATTTCTTATTTCCATTTAATTTGTTATCAATACAATTGCT